AGGTAGCTGCCCTTAAATATATTCATAAGCTGTTAATGTGTTTTGCATATTCGATCAAGAATGTCGAGTAGCTCGCAAGGTAGGCCCAACTTGCTAGATATGTTTCGGGAAAAATCACTTTCCTCATGATTCCGAAATATAGCCAGATTACATAAGAAAAACTAGCTTTTACCTTATACATACCTTTTAACTTATGGTTTGGGGGGGGGGGAGAGAAAACAAAACATTTTAAGCCACACCCGTTTTAGCACCAGAAAACGCCCTTTTACTAATACGGAAAGCCAATTTTACCTGAAGGGAACGCCCATGACGAACTTTTGGCTATGTAGCGGCAGTTTGAAAATCATAGGATAACATCACGAAAAGTATGTTGCCAGAATATTACCCCTCCCCCAACGATTTCTTGTCAGATTTTGACGAAATACATAATTTATCCTGCCGAGAACTGGGGGACACGTCTTTCTATTACCAAGCTTTATAAAATTCCCCACGAAAATATTTGTATTGGAAGGAGAGCATGGAATGATCATTGATAATTTTGCCACTGAATAGGCGAAGTTATCTCTTACGAAGGAAGGGGGTTTGAGCGTCCGCTTCTAAAACTACTCTAATGCTCCTTGTGGTGATCGACGCTCAGTCTTTGATACTATAAGTGTCTATTCGTTCGTTGGAATATTTTTGTAAAGAAACATTACATCCATAGATAGTATATGCTTTAAAATAGCCCAGAAAGCTAATGCTAGATATTTTTAAGGAACTAAGTTAAGTACAAGTAAAAGAGTGGGATTTAGTTCAAATAAACAAATTCTCCAACAACTTTGTTGAGTTGCTTTGTCAAAACAAAATCCAAGCTAATTTAGTAAAAGATGCGGCAGACAATTTATTTGAGATTGGATCCAGAGAAAATCTTTGTAACTACAGACCTATTTCTGTGCCCACAGTTTTCTCAAAAATGTTGAAGAAACAAGACCAGTTATCAAAATAAATGAAAAATGTGATTTTTAAAAAATCGGTAACATGGATCCTAATCTTTGAATTACAAGGGAACATCCCTCAACAATGTAATGTAAAACATACAATCGTTTAACAAAACAGATGCAAATTTATACATAAGTGTGGTCCTATACCCAAAAAGGAATTTGACACAGTTGATCAAGACATCTATATAGGGTGGAACATTGAATTGTAATAATATTTGTTGTGTGGTCCTGCAAGGATCATCCCTTGGTCCTCTTTTGTTCATAATATGTGTTTAAGTCTTCGAATTATATCTGAATAAATCTATAGCAATTATGTTTGCAGTTTAAATTTTAAGTTTAAATTTCTTACAATGTCTTCAAGACAGGGTCCCCGCATAAAACGACAACGTCAAAATCAAGGATGGTTGGTTATCTGTCTCTCGCCTGCCACAGGGTTGCCATTTGGCCGTTTTGACGGCCAAGTTGCTCTATTCTGGCCGTTTTTCAATGTTGTTGGCCGTCAAAAATTAATTTGGCCGAAAAAGCGAAAGTTGGCCGAATTTTTGCCGCATGTGAAAGCCACAAAAATACAAAGAAAACGACAACTTTAGCATAGAAAATATTCAGCATGTTGATAAAATAATCTCAAAGTTGCAAATAGCGAATCAAGAACCAAAGTAAAAGATAGCAGAAAACTAGCAAAAATATAGCTTTTTGTATAATCGAATTTGGCCGTCAAACGTTAAGTATTTGGCCACCAACCATCACAAGCATCTGGCAACACTGGCCTGCCATAAGACGAGAAGATTTCTTGATATAGACATCTCTAGAAGGACTTTGATTTTTTGAAAAAAACTGTATGACCGCTGTGTTCTCTCGGGAGTGCCCTGGGTACCAGAGCCACACAAATTCGAGCAGGGAAATAGAAGATAGAGCTGAAGGTGCGTCTATCTGAGAAGAAGGAAAAACTTTTCTTACTTCTAAGATAGATGCTCCTCCGCTTATCCGCTCATATCTTGTACTTCCTCGCCCGAAATTTTGTGGCTCTGGTACCTAGGGTAGCATTGAGTAGTGCAATTGTAAGAGACATACACAAGATCGTGCCTTTGCACATTGCAGACATCAATAATACCTAGTTATAAAATTTAGTGTGACAAAAGGATCTGTCTGGGAGCGAGATGTAGCGATAACGTTCAGAGACAGAGAGTGCTGGAAAAAAGCAAGATTTTTGATAAGATTCTTTAAAACTTATATAGTATTCTAAAGAATTGTGTTTCTTTGGAATTTGACGTCAACAACACCCAAATAAAAGACCTGGAGCTGAGCGAACACTTGGATCGATCGAGGCAGCAACGGAGAGTAGAGAGCAGCTTAACAGGGTATCATTGTGCCCATTAGCCAGTACGGTGAATATTAACGCAGCCAGAAGCCTTAAGAAACCCAAAATAATGTCGCAAGCATTTTTCACCTTGCTCTTATTTCTATGCATAAGCATAAGCATAATCTTAATTAGGGTCTTAACTTCTATAGCATATACATTGTCGTTGATTATCAGAAAATAGCATTCTATCTGGTCTGTTCTTCACTTAAATATTTGATATTAACCAATGTTGCCAAAAGTCTACCAAACAATGATCAATGATACAATACTGTATATAAAAAAGTAGCAATAATTGTTTCATAATAACAGTTTAAATTTAACATTGTGCATTTTGCGTTTTATTTTAACAGTTAAATTTGTTGTCACCAAAAGAAGTATATAAATTAAATAGTCAAACCCAACATTTTAGTTTGCTTTTCCAAATTTCACGCTTGACGTGATCATCAGGTAGCTGCCCTTAAATATATTCATAAGCTGTTAATGTGTTTTGCATATTCGATCAAGAATGTCGAGTAGCTCGCAAGGTAGGCCCAACTTGCTAGATATGTTTCGGGAAAAATCACTTTCCTCATGATTCCGAAATATAGCCAGATTACATAAGAAAAACTAGCTTTTACCTTATACATACCTTTTAACTTATGGTTTGGGGGGGGGGAGAGAAAACAAAACATTTTAAGCCACACCCGTTTTAGCACCAGAAAACGCCCTTTTACTAATACGGAAAGCCAATTTTACCTGAAGGGAACGCCCATGACGAACTTTTGGCTATGTAGCGGCAGTTTGAAAATCATAGGATAACATCACGAAAAGTATGTTGCCAGAATATTACCCCTCCCCCAACGATTTCTTGTCAGATTTTGACGAAATACATAATTTATCCTGCCGAGAACTGGGGGACACGTCTTTCTATTACCAAGCTTTATAAAATTCCCCACGAAAATATTTGTATTGGAAGGAGAGCATGGAATGATCATTGATAATTTTGCCACTGAATAGGCGAAGTTATCTCTTACGAAGGAAGGGGGTTTGAGCGTCCGCTTCTAAAACTACTCTAATGCTCCTTGTGGTGATCGACGCTCAGTCTTTGATACTATAAGTGTCTATTCGTTCGTTGGAATATTTTTGTAAAGAAACATTACATCCATAGATAGTATATGCTTTAAAATAGCCCAGAAAGCTAATGCTAGATATTTTTAAGGAACTAAGTTAAGTACAAGTAAAAGAGTGGGATTTAGTTCAAATAAACAAATTCTCCAACAACTTTGTTGAGTTGCTTTGTCAAAACAAAATCCAAGCTAATTTAGTAAAAGATGCGGCAGACAATTTATTTGAGATTGGATCCAGAGAAAATCTTTGTAACTACAGACCTATTTCTGTGCCCACAGTTTTCTCAAAAATGTTGAAGAAACAAGACCAGTTATCAAAATAAATGAAAAATGTGATTTTTAAAAAATCGGTAACATGGATCCTAATCTTTGAATTACAAGGGAACATCCCTCAACAATGTAATGTAAAACATACAATCGTTTAACAAAACAGATGCAAATTTATACATAAGTGTGGTCCTATACCCAAAAAGGAATTTGACACAGTTGATCAAGACATCTATATAGGGTGGAACATTGAATTGTAATAATATTTGTTGTGTGGTCCTGCAAGGATCATCCCTTGGTCCTCTTTTGTTCATAATATGTGTTTAAGTCTTCGAATTATATCTGAATAAATCTATAGCAATTATGTTTGCAGTTTAAATTTTAAGTTTAAATTTCTTACAATGTCTTCAAGACAGGGTCCCCGCATAAAACGACAACGTCAAAATCAAGGATGGTTGGTTATCTGTCTCTCGCCTGCCACAGGGTTGCCATTTGGCCGTTTTGACGGCCAAGTTGCTCTATTCTGGCCGTTTTTCAATGTTGTTGGCCGTCAAAAATTAATTTGGCCGAAAAAGCGAAAGTTGGCCGAATTTTTGCCGCATGTGAAAGCCACAAAAATACAAAGAAAACGACAACTTTAGCATAGAAAATATTCAGCATGTTGATAAAATAATCTCAAAGTTGCAAATAGCGAATCAAGAACCAAAGTAAAAGATAGCAGAAAACTAGCAAAAATATAGCTTTTTGTATAATCGAATTTGGCCGTCAAACGTTAAGTATTTGGCCACCAACCATCACAAGCATCTGGCAACACTGGCCTGCCATAAGACGAGAAGATTTCTTGATATAGACATCTCTAGAAGGACTTTGATTTTTTGAAAAAAACTGTATGACCGCTGTGTTCTCTCGGGAGTGCCCTGGGTACCAGAGCCACACAAATTCGAGCAGGGAAATAGAAGATAGAGCTGAAGGTGCGTCTATCTGAGAAGAAGGAAAAACTTTTCTTACTTCTAAGATAGATGCTCCTCCGCTTATCCGCTCATATCTTGTACTTCCTCGCCCGAAATTTTGTGGCTCTGGTACCTAGGGTAGCATTGAGTAGTGCAATTGTAAGAGACATACACAAGATCGTGCCTTTGCACATTGCAGACATCAATAATACCTAGTTATAAAATTTAGTGTGACAAAAGGATCTGTCTGGGAGCGAGATGTAGCGATAACGTACAGAGACAGCGAGTGCTGGAAAAAAGCAAGATTTTTGATAAGATTCTTTAAAACTTATATAGTATTCTAAAGAATTGTGTTTCTTTGGAATTTGACGTCAACAACACCCAAATAAAAGACCTGGAGCTGAGCGAACACTTGGATCGATCGAGGCAGCAACGGAGAGTAGAGAGCAGCTTAACAGGGTATCATTGTGCCCATTAGCCAGTACGGTGAATATTAACGCAGCCAGAAGCCTTAAGAAACCCAAAATAATGTCGCAAGCATTTTTCACCTTGCTCTTATTTCTATGCATAAGCATACAAAATGTTAGTGGAGGTAGGTTGATGGTCGAAGTCAATGGTAAAAACAGCACCTTGGGGAAAAGATGGTTAGAGATACAGGACAAAATATGGAGGGAGCTAGGAAAAGACCCAATACAGAAATCCCTCAGAACTGCTAAGTTGCTTAAGTTAACAGAAATCAATAGCATCTACAGGCAAGTGAGAGATGAAATGGAAACCAACGAAGATATTGTTTTTATTGCAAATATTGGTATGTAGTCATGATATTCAATGATATTATTATCTAATTAGATAAAAAATAGGAAAAGCTTCCGCGAAAATATAGTTACTTAGCTCGTTTATGCAGTTCAAAGAGCTGCAGTGGGGAATAAATTATTCTAAACATGAAATCTAGGGGAGGGGCGAGGTAAGGAAAACATAAAAAGCTAAACATCAAATTTTTGTACAAATCCCAACAAAATAGCAAAAAATTTAATTGCCCTCTCCAAAACGTTTGAGCTTTAACATCTCTAAATGCTGTATGAAAAAAATGAGCTTTAATAGCATTTATGGACTGGGGCCCAGGCTACATTTACAGCGACAGCTAGAGTTTTATATCAGAATAGTTAAGCTGTTTTGCAGAAAATAATTAGGACACTCTTCCGAGAAAAAGATGGAATATCATATAAAAATGACTATAATGTAGCCTTTCATGTGAAATCAAAAAGGAGTTATAACCAGGCTATAAAGAAATTGTTTCTTTGTGAATAGATACGTCTATGAGATGTATTTAACATCGCTTTGGAGCGTTTCAGGTTGACACAAAGTAGTCACTATTTTGCACAGATAAACACGGGTTTTTTATTGCAAAACTAAAAAAACTTGTAAAAACTATAAAATCAAATAAGACTTTACATTTTTACCAAATTCTATAAGATTCTCTGATAGCATGACATGTTTCGGAAAAACATACATTGATTGCAGAAAGGGTTCACAAGCTTGTCCAAGAACAAGAGTACCACCTCTTTAGCGCCATCCCAGCGCAATGCATAAACAAAGGTCGCTGCAATCATTTCTGCATCACATATGCTAAAAAGAGATTCAAAACTGTTAACATTGAGTTATACAACTTGTATTTAGCAGTAGATAGTACAATGTCCGTCGCTAGCTATATTGCTAAGCCGGGACTCAGCTCAGCTTTAGTGCTCAGCTATAGTGCTCAGATGTAGTGTCCAGGACTCATTTGTCGACAAAGCGATCAGCCAACCTTTTTTACTGAGACGTTTGAAACTTTGTCGACGAGCCACACCTAGATGGCAAAAAACTCCTTTTCTTCAACATTGGTCTTTATTAAGGGGGTGTTACACGACTCACGCCCCTTCCCTCTAGAACGATGTTGATAGTTCGGACAAATTTCAAGTAACGCAAAATAAGACTCTACCTGATATCCTTTGCCGTTCTACAGTAAACCAACATTATTCCCAGGGGTAAGCTAGAGATTTTCGAATGACTGAATTCGACCTTGAAAGAAGATGTCAGTGTTCAAAGACTTTTGCCGGCATTGACCCAACATTTTTACGGGAGGCTTTTAACAAATTATTAAGGGTTTTTTTTCAATTTACCAATTAGGGAAACACGAAATGATTGGTAAAACCATACTGAGATTTAAAGTACCAGCGAAGTATTTCGAGAATGAAAATAAAGTAAAATGGGCAGCGTTATGCCTTCCAAGGAGATTTGCAGCAACAACAATTCCTGGGTGCCTTACAGTAAGCTCTGGAAAGTTTATTCGACGAAGGACAACTTTCAACGTGCAACGAACATACAACAACGAAAAAGGATGGCCATGCTACAACATGATTAAGGCCTTTCATCAGAAGTTTCCGATCGATGGAACACTCTTACAAAGACTGCATTTAAGGTATGAATGTCGCATATAAAAATTTCTTTCATCTGACACTAACTTCTCCTATTCAATTGTTTCAAAATTGTAGAACTTACAGTTTCAGGCTACAAGTAAAAAGCTTTAAACTAAGGATTTCTAGTGGTTCATAAGAAGTAACTATTAGTTCCCACTAAATACAAGCAACAGGCAAAAGTGCTTTTAAACGACTGATAGCGCATTTATAATTAAGAAAACATTGAGAATTTGTCTCATGGAAAATGCAACAATAGCCTACATTGTGACATGTCTCTCTCTGACCTGATTTGTTTTCTATTTCTGTTTTAGAGTTTAATCAGCCAGCACTAGCAACAACTAAGCAGTTCTAATTTTTGAACTTTCATTCTCATTTCTTGTCAGTCCAGCTGGACTGCTTTTCAGGGGGTTTCATACACTATCTCGGAGTTCGCGACACCATGATGGAATTCTATTGTTCAATATCTAGTTCCAGTCCCTCAGGTGCAAGCCCATAGCCAGGCCTGTGGAGCAGGGGGGGCAAACTCTCTAGACCTGTTGCAGGCATACATTTCAGCAATTTTTCTTTCTCAAGTTTTTGCTTAGCAGCGAAAGTTGTTTAAGCGCCAGGCAACATCCTAAGTCTTAAGTTCTTCCGTCGGTATAAACTTGATTCAGATTGTCATGGCAACCCAATGAAAACGATGAAAGCCCCCATTAAACAATTTAGAGACAAAATTATCGGGATGGCAAATAGCTAGTATTATCTTGTTCAAGGGTGGCATTGCCACCCCATACCACCCCATACCACCCCATGCCACCCCATGTCACCCCTTGGCTACAGACCTGCTCAGGTGGGGTGAACCAACGAGAATTGATGGTGGGTAAAGGCTGTTCTTTAATTATGTTCGGTCCTGAAACTTCTTCAAAATAAAGAAAATATTTTAAGAACTAAAACCCGAAACTCGCTGATTAACACTAGACCTTGTTTGAGCTAGAGAGAGATTTACGAATCTCGAAATAGGCCGCAATCGTCTTTATCGCGGTTTTTGCCCCAGTTGTGTCATGGCGTCTCGGCACGAACTCCGAGATGGTCTATTTAAATACAGGGTAAATACAACAATATCTAGCTGCAATGTTAAAAAATTATAAGGCATTAATAAAAATCATCTCATGGCAGCTTTAAATGTATGGGAAAGGGATGCCTGTCTGACTTCCGAATCCAAAGTGTTACAAGAGTTGGTGACGTAGTTGGAAACCCAAAGTCACGTGGTTTAATCGACGATAACGGCATCAGAGTATGATCTCAAGGGAAAGTGATCTGGTAATGTTCTGGTAATGAAAAGTCTTCTGGTAATGTAAAAATTCCGAAGTAAATAATGAAGGTAAATTTATATAATAAAGTTAGATAAAAAAAGCAGTGGCGGTTTTAGGGGAGGGTCAAGGCCGAAAACCCGCACCACCCCAATGAAAAAGATAAAATTGTAAAGAACAAGGGTCCCACAGACGTTTTCGTCCCCGGTCCCGCAGACCCTAAAACCGCCTGTGCTTGGTGTCCATCGCTGTGATACTATCAGGACAAAGGCAAATCAAGTGCTTGCACGTATAAACGTATAAGGGGCTGTTCAATAAAAACGTCACGCCAAGATTGTGATGGGGGCAATAACAATAATCAATTCAAACCAACAAACTCGTCTTTAAATTCCTCCTACTTTGCATCGTATAAAAACGGATATTTTCTGAGTGCGTCAAAGTTGGATCATCATGATGCAACGCGAACCTGATATTGGCAGCGTCAAAAAAGCGTATGGTGTGAATTCAGCTTAATCCCAAGGCGTGACATAATTATTGAATATCCCCTTAAAGGCTCTTGCGCAACCGGCACGCTTTGCGACTATATTTTCAAAAATTACAAGATATAGTCCTTTTCATCTCGGGTAATATAACATCTACCGCAAAGCATGCCGGTTGCTTAAGAGGCTTTAAGTATACCAAGAAATATTTCTATTTGTCGCTGCAAAGATAATTTTGCACTGCATTTGAATTTATGTTCCAAAATTTGGTAGCAAGTCACAAAAAACAAAAGGTAATCGTTATCGAAAACGGTCTATGGCCGAAAATTTATTTGATACCTTACTCTGGAACAATTTTGTAGAAGCGATCAAATTTACACCATTTCTGGAAATTTCCCATAGCAACTAAAGACGGCAGTGTAGCTTTTATTGCTTTTTTACTCTATTTTCACAGCCTTGAGATAGTGTTTTATTGTAAATCAGGCATTTTAAACTTGTTTAAATTGGTCAGTTTAAAAAAAATATTATATTAAATTTAAAATTTACAAACATTTTGAAATGAAAATTGGAATTTTCAGGCACGCCTTTCTTAAACTCACCCTACAACAATCAACCCCGAACATGCAGAAGGACATCTTGCCAGTATTACACATCCAGGCGATAAGAAAACCACGACGAAAGCGTGGCATTGATTGCGGAACCGGAAGCCAGCGACGCTGCTGCAGGGCACCACTGAAGATCAGCTTCAAAGATATCGGCTACGCCAATATCATCCTTGCACCGGCTAGTTTCGATGCTTATGTTTGCACGGGTCAATGTGGCACATTCAGTAGGCATACGTCTACCAGAGTTAATGTAGTAAAAGACTACAATTCGTTCCGGAATCGAAATGAAAAGTCCGGATTGGTTAAATTTTGCTGCACTGCAACAAAGACTAGCGCACTGACAGTACTCCTCAAAGACGGAAAATTTGTTTTCTCGAAGAAAATTTCTGGAATGGTAATTGAAGAGTGCAGCTGTAACTGAACTTTAAAGGGCGAATGCCTGTTATTAATAATGGACTGCTAAGCTTGTACAATGCCTACGATTTGACGCCTCTTCTTTGTGAGACTCGTAACTTTGCGAGAGTCGTAATTTTGACTAGTTTATATATGAAAATTATCCAAGACTAAACTTGTGAGTTACCCATGCATCTTTGAAGCTGTTCTTGGATCTTGTATTGTATTGCCTTGTATTGCCTTGTATTGCCTTGTATTGCCTTGTATTGCCTTGTCTTGTCTTGTCTTGTCTTGTCTTGTCTTGTCTTGTCTTGTCTTGTCTTGTCTTGTCTTGTCTTGTCTTGTCTTGTCTTGTCTTGTCTTGTCTTGTCTTGTCTTGTCTTGTCTTGTATTGCCTTGTCTTGTCTTCTCTCTTGTCTTGTCTTGTCTTGTCTTGTCTTGTCTTGTCTTGTCTTGTCTTGTCTTGTCTTGTCTTGTCTTGTCTTGTCTTGTCTTGTCTTGTCTTGTCTTGTCTTGTCTTGTCTTGTCTTGTCTTGTCTTGTCTTGTCTTGTCTTGTCTTGTCAAATCTTGTCTTTTGGCAAGAAAAAATAGGAACGTTAATAAAGAATACCTTTCGTTAGTTCACAGCGCACTGCCAAAAAGCTCAAAACCAAACTGGGTTCTGATCTTTACAAAAACCAGCAAACATTAAACTGCACAAATTTCGAAGAGTTTTTCGAGGGGTTTGGTTTTGGGGTTATCCTAAAAGCAGGGCCTTAGCAGCCTCCAAAACATTGGAACAATAAGTTAAAACTACAGCCTTAGAAACTTCAAAAATATTGATAAAGAATAACAACACATTATATGTGTCACATCGTTGAAATACATATTTTTGGGTTTTGGACCGCTCCTATCCTCCTTTAGCAATACCATATACTGTTTAACGTAGCCATGTATATATATGTGGGGGATCAAGTGAATGATCCTCTCGAATAGAGGCGAAACATATCAAATATCTTAAAAGATAAAGGCGAAAAAATACAGCGAGTGTTCCATTATAATTACACGAGTAAAGAATCCTCGATGCGGCGAAATTTACGTTGATCTAACATATTCCAAGAGGGAATTTATTACAAGCGTTAAGTGTCCATCCTCGAATCGTGTCTACTTCTTCCTACTCTTTCTTTCGATGCGTTAAATTGGATGTCACCAATCACTTGACATAATCGATTCTCTTCAATATATATATATGTATATAT